AATGTTTTCGCTAGTATCTACGGGGTTTCGCGAAAGTGCGTCTGCGGCTTGGTTTTTCTTTCCTTTTTGATATTTTAAAATACAATCAAACTCTTCGAGTTTGAGGCGCCAGCGAATTAAGCGACTATTTGGTTCTTTTAAACTTGAAAGCCAGATTAAGGGTTTATGGTCTGTGAGGACAGAGAACTTTTGTCCGAACATATATGGTCTAAAGTATTTACAACCAAATACAATTGCTAGCAGTTCCTTCTCGATGGTCGAATAGTTTATTTCCTCGGGGTTTAACGTTCTGGAGGCATAACTAATTGAGTGACCATTTTGCGATAATATTGCTCCTATAGCATAATTTGATGCATCAGATGTTAATTCGAAAGGTTTGGTAAAATCGGGGTACGCAAATACTGGTTCTGATGTTATTTTCTGATTTTTCCTTAGGCATTGAGTTAATGGTTTGGTGATCTTCGCAAAATTTTGTATAAATTTACGATAATATCCGAGCAAGCCTAAAAATTGTTTAATTTCTTTTTGTGTACGAGGTATCGCGAATTTTTGAATGGCCTCGATCTTTTTCGGGTTTGGTTTGATGCCTTCTGGCGTCACTACGTGCCCTAAAAATTCGATTTCTTTTCTTAAGAACTCGCATTTGTCCAGTAGAATTTTTAATTTTGCATCGCGTAATTTCGAAAATACAAGGCGCAAATTTTGAATGTGTTCCTGCAAGCCTGTACTAAAAATAATTATGTCGTCCATATAGACCATACAAATTTTATTCTGAAGATCTTTAAGGACCTCGTCCATAACGCGTTGAAAAATACTCGGCGTAGATATTCATAATGTCCGTTTTCCACGGAAAAGGCTGTTTTTTCTATCAAATTTTGTGCCATCTCGATCTGGTGAAAACCGCTCGTTAGGTCTAAAGCCGAAAAGTATTGTGATCGCCCTAACTTATCTAGTATATCAGAAATGTTTGGAATAGGATATCGATCGTTGATTGTTTTAAGGTTTAATTTACGATAATCTATTACTACGCGCCACTTTTGTACGTTTGAGGCATCGATTTTTTTTGGAACGATCCAAACGGGAGAGCTCCAAGGGCTCGTTGAAGGACGGATTATACCTTTCCCTAACATTTCATTTATTTGTTTCCTTATTTCCTCTTTATGGGCATACGGATAACGATATGATTTTGTCAGTGGTTTTTATCTCGTGTCGAATTTTGGATGTAAATGTTAGCGCGTCGCCTGGTTTATAAAAAATGTCTTTAAATTCGTCGCATAATTTAGTGATTGATTGCTGCTCTTCTGAGTTCATGTGGGATAGCCGTATTAATTTGGTCATATCGATTTTTGAGGGAGAAATTTGAAAATATTTATTTTTATCGAATTTTTTTATGGTTTTGAAAGAATATATTTCGAATGCTTCCTGTATAAACGATTCTACGGGAATTGGTTGCAACAAGGTCGTGTTAATGGTTTTATCGGTGTGGTTTTGTATTTCAACGGGTGCGAATCCGTTTCTCGCGTGGGATAGGGTTCTAGGAATAAACAAGTTATTTATTTCAGTAGGTGGTACTAAAATATCGCCTTCAAAAAAGCTAACTGGCAAATTCTTAATAATTTTCTCATGAGAGTTTATCGAAAATGAAAATTTTGAATCTGCGGGTTTGCGGAACTTAAAAGGAATTTGAATTGTTTTATTCGAAAGTATTTTGTTATTTAAGTCAATATTTAAATTCATTTTAATCCAATAACGCCATCGAAAAAGTCGTGAAAATCGAAAAGGATAAAATCGATTTCGTAATCGATACCAAACTCTGTAAGTAGAGGTATAGTAGCTTCAAATTGAGTATTTTTGAGTTTTTATAGTATTTTGTGCATTATAAATACAATTCAAAAAATATTGTTCAGCAATAATAGGTTTTAATACTGATCTATTACTACCAGTGTTTATTAATAATTTAATATTTAAAGAGTTAATTTGCAAGTAAGGAAGGGGGTTATACGAAGATACGTTTATTTCAATTAAGTTGGGATTTCTTCTTGGCTGGTTTCGCAAAAAATTTTGGGATACAACTAAGTGTTGATTGCTTTGATTTTCTAATTGACATTGTATTGATTCATCGATTGTCTCAAAATATTCTTGAGGAAAATTATTTTCAAAACGCGGGTCACAATAATCTAAGTTATCCTCAGAGTCTTGGTTGTCGAAGTCCGTCACGTCATTTGAATGTAATTCTTCAAAGACAAAGTTATTTCGCATGTTTGGGTTTGATCGGAAATAGTCGTTTTGGTTTCGGTATTGGTATCGTCCTATGGAAGGTGTCCTAGACGTTGTCGACATAGGTTCAGGTTTGGGCAAATCGCGTGGGTTTGTCTGTCCGGGCTTAAATACATTTTTTGGTTTACCGAAAACTTGACTGTTGGTAAAGTATTTTTGAGGGGGTAGTTGTCTGGGCCTTACGTCAACTGGGCCAGTTGGAAACATTTTTTGTAGGGGATTAAAGCAATTTTGATTAAAAGGTTGTTGACCGAATCGCGTTAAGTTATCAAATTGTGCGGGGTTACTAAATTGCTGATTTGGAAATTGAGCGAGATTGGGTGGTACAAACCCATTATTGCTAAACAGTCTTTGATAAAAATTTTGAAGATGTTGATTTGTCGGTGTACTGTTTAAATTTTGGAAGTTCGGTTTTTGAGATTTATAAGGCTCGTTCAGAGTCCCATACAATCTTTCAAAATTTTCGAATTCATTTACATATGCCATGGCGTCTTCGAAACTTTGCGGTGTTTTTAAATGCATATTGTTTTTTAAGACGCCTGTGCACCCTGCGATAAATGTATTTAGGGCAATTTGATCATAATGTTTAATATATGAAAGCTTTTCTTCCGGTGTATATTTAGACTCGTTACTTATACGCTGTGCAATATCGCTCCTTAATAATTGAAGTCTACTTCCAAAATTTATCAAGTGTTCGTTTTTATTGGGCCTAGTCCTAACTAATTCTTGGATTAAACAATTCAGATCTCGGCGATCGGAAAAACATTGAGTCAATGCATCTTTCAATGCTTTCCAATCACTAATTTCTGTGCGATTACCTACTAGAACTGCGACTCTGCCTACCAGTTTTTCCTGGATACATTCAAAAATAAGTTTATTTAATTCCGAATTTGCAAGGGAAGCGTAACCATTAATTAAGCTTTCGCATCTGTTGATAAACTTATTTAAGGTATTGCTATCACCTTCGTAAGGTTGAATGTTTTGCAATTTTGAGTTAAATAAATTCTAATTTACTTGGTCTGTCATTTTTTCTGATATTTTTCTTTCACTAAAGGTTAGATTTTTGAAAATTTCACTACTTTCAGATTCTACGTCACTACTTAATGCTTTGAAACATTCGCAGCTTGTTTCTGATTCACAATTTAACATCAAAAATTGATCGATTAAAAAAAATTTGTTTCCCTAACTACTTGACGTCCGATACGACTTGCCTAAAATTATCCCTATTAAAAGCCTTAACGGAGGATCTCAAAGGGGCGAAAGGGAAAAATCGCACTTACGGTTTTCTCTTCCCTGATCCTTTGTTGCACACTGCCTACGAGAGTCTTCTCTGGGTTCGCCAACAAGTTTTTTGGATTGCGCTGTAGCGGTTGAAACCACTCCTCAGGGTAGCCTAATTCGGTAAGTGTCACTTTTCCGCACGATGCGACGTACACACACGAATTGTCTCTGCTTTTTCGTTTTCCGAATTCCGAGAGCACAATCCTACCGACTTTTTAAAAACTTTATTTTCAAAATACAATCGAAAATTAAGAGTTTCTGCAGCAGCAGTTACAAGAATAATAATATTACTTAAAACTAAGACTTTATAGGTTCGTATACGAAAAGCTGACAATGTGAATCTCACGGTCTATTCATAGTACCATCGTGGCCAAATGCTGACATCGTAGATCTCACGGTGTCCTATCCTTATTACGTAGAAATCATTGTACATAACTCGTGTCAAATAATCTCGTGAGTCAAATGCCGTTTACCGCACTTGTTACATAATATACTATAATAGTACAAATTGTAAACATCATCCCAATGAGAATTCGCAATAAAAGCGATATTTAATGTTAACCATGATTTTATTTTGACAATGATTGATTAATTTTTCAAAGAGGCTTCCACAGGCTACTGTAATGCTTTTTATAAAACTTCTGGATTCCTCCTGCGTCGGTTTTTGCTTAGTCGAAATGATTGACTAGCCATTTCAGACTAGTCCGCACAATCCTTTTGTGTGTCATAAAGAAAGCTTCTATGACAAGCATATGTGCCTAAAGTGCTTTGAGTGCATATTGTACATTTCGTATAGGCTGTACAAGAAAAAGTTGTAAATCCAAGGCAAATAAGACCAACAGGCAGTCAAATTAAAGAAAAATAACATCATAACAGCCGACAGTCCGTCAATGCGACAGAAGACACTTTAGTTGTATATTTCTTACGACAGTATTTTCTCAAAATATGCCCAGATAAAGTTAAATGTTCTGAGAACGCGAGTTAATCATTCCCTTCCTTAATAAAATATAATGGCCGCCTGAGCCGCATCAATTGTTACACTTCTTACGCCACCATCTCATATAATACACAACCTAACTTAGAAACTTGAAGGAATCATAACTCCATGATCTGCCAATTGAAAGCTCCCCCAAACTGAAAAATTTTGAAAGAAATCAGCTTTTGTATTTCCTGTATGTTAAGTAAATTATAAACAGAATCTCTTTGATGTTTCAAGGTTTGAATTTCCGTCAAAAATTTTACTCATGCATACAATGTCAGAACCAATGTGTAATCGCGTTAAAACATTCAGCCGCTGAATTTTAGCTCTGAAGATCTGTTGAACATGTTAAATATCTGGATTATTGCTTATTTTTCTTTTGACGATTATTGCAATAGTATAGTTCCTTAGAGATTCCTTCAAAAGGAATACTTTGGCCAGATTATCAAGAAAAAAAAGAACAAAATACTGAATCTTTTATTTAATGTTTAGATTTATTTTCATATAAATGTACACTAAAGCAACAAAAACTTAATAGTTCACACAATAACAAATAATACATTTTTTGGTACATCTAATATACAAGTAACTACTCTATCAGGAAAACATATAAGCATATTGTTCTAATAGTTTACGCAAAAGGCAAAATTTGTGCTCTACAACATGTGACATACACCTCACATGCAACATTTCTCGTTGTAATAATATATTAAAAAAAAAAAAAAAACATAAAAGCTATATCAATTCCATGATTTGATTCTCAATCAAATTTGAGTTTAACTTTTTTACAATATTCTGGGAAAATGCATTCAAATATACTTCTTGTTGCGGAAAAAACGACATAGAAAATAACGTTCCGAAAAGTTCTAAAATCTTCGAATAATACATTGTATTTGATTATAGAGAAATTTTAACTCATACTCAATCTACATCACATTTTGTTTGAAAGTAAGAAAACTTTTGCTTTAGACCATGAAAAATTGCTTTCTGTGCTTCAATGCTACGGCCAAAGATGTTAAGCAAACAGTCACAATATTCTTGGAACATTAACACAATCAGATTTATTGCTTGTACACCAGTAGATGAAACTATTATTACCATCACAACACGCGATTTCAAAAAATGTTCAATGGAAACAAAATATTTTTGAAGATATTTGGTTGTCTTTAAAGTTGTTATTGATCACATATTAAAAAGCCTAACCCTCCAGATCTCCTCAGCACAACCGCCTGCATATTCCAATTGATTACCAATGAATCAAAAGCTAGACAAATTGGTGGAATATTATTATTTACATCTATAGCATCTTTTACCTATAAAAACAAATGTACAACAATGTCATATATGTTTAAAAATACTGAAATTTAGTATACTGATACAATTTTGCTAAAACATGTTGCTAGTCAAAAAAAGTGTATAGAAATTTATGTTTATCAAAAATAAAGTGTCTTAAAGGTGTTGAATCGAGTTATACATCTTAAGCATAGTAGAGATCACTAAAAAAATATATGAAATATCCAAGTACAAATTATTGCATTTCTGATAAGTAGCATCCATTTTTAAACATAAAGGATGACAGAATTATTATGTGTGCCTTCACTAGTTTATAGTAATAATCGAATCTCTGGACTTTCCAACTCCGATCCATTTCACTAAAAAAATAAATAGGTGGTTATTAATTAATAAACAATAAATTCCATTTAAACAGTATAAGCCCTGGCAGACCTGCATAACTAACTCCAAAGTACACAAAATGTAATTACCTGGTACTTCCACTAGTTCTTCAATTTTCTTAATATATTTTTTTGCGTTTTCCGGTAAATCAGAAAAATATCTGACTTCTTCTGTACTAGTTTGCCAACCTGGCATTGTTAAGTACTCAGGCTGTAAAAAAAAGTTAATTATTAATTATTATTATTTATTAATGATTTATATTAATATACATTTTTCTAATTCTCATTCTTTTTTTTTATAAAAAATTGTTATTAAAGTTTGTTTTAAAAATTATCAACCTGTACAGGACAACCCAACCCAAATGATTTCTTTCTTACCTCAACTTTCCCCAAATCTGAAGCATTAGCAGGCATATAGTTGATCTTCTTTCCATTTAACTTATAGCCAGTCGCTAATTTTACTTCTGGCAAAGTATCTAAGATATCCAACTTAGTAACACATAGTGATGTGTATCCATTAATTTTGTGCGTGTACTGAAGAAGGAATACATCTAACCATCCACATCGGCGTTTTCTCTTAGTTGTGACTCCAAATTCAAATCCACGTTCTTGCATTAGTTCACCAACTTTCTGTATAAGAAATAAAAAAAAGTGAAATCCCGTCGCAGTAAACCTTGCGAGAAAAATTTTGAGCGCAGTTTTCAGTCATAAATATTGACTGGCTTTTCATTCAAAGGATTGTTGCAATGCTTTTTAGGTACATCAGTTATGTAAAAGTTGCCTCGTTTTATAAATAAATAACAGTTTACAATAAAAAAGGAAAAAATTCTAATACAAATATTTGACTAGGAAAACATACATCCTTCAATTCAGTAGGAAATGGTCCATCGCCAACTCGAGTTGTATATGCTTTAACCACACCAATCACCTCACCTATCCTCATGGGTGAAATTCCAAGACCTGTACATACACCACCAACTGTGCAATTTGACGAAGTTACATAAGGATAGGTGCCTAAAAAAAATGGCTTTAAATGGTTCAAGAACCTAATTTTGAAAAGAGTACCATTTTTATAAAAGTTTTCAATAACAGTGTATAAAAAAAATCATTTTTTAAAATATTATTTAAGATATTTAATTAATTTTTTTATAAAAACAAATTACCAAAATCAATATCCAGCATAGCGGCATTGGCACCTTCAACAAGAACTCTTTTGCCTTCTTTTATGTTTTTATCCAAAAACGAGACTGTGTCATAAACCAATGGTTTTATTTTTATAGCGAATTTTTGATACCGTTGCAGTTCAGAATCAATATCAACCTTCAAACTTGGAAACATTCTCTGGTGGATATTTACTAAAGCTTTAAATCTATAACAAAGAACAATATACACATAAAATCAATGTGCTGAAGCAAAAAGAAAGTATCATCATCATCAGTATCAGAAAGTATCACTTACTTTTCAGCAAATTGTTCAAAATCGCCCAACAAATCACCCACTCTGATGCCATTTCTTGTAGCCTTTGAGGAATATGTTGGACCGATGCCTTTTTTAGTTGTACCCAGACCCTGACCCTTTTTGTTATTTTCTTGTTCTTGCAAGCCATCTACATTTTGGTGAAGATCAAACACCAAGTGAGCTCTATCTGATATTATTAGGCGGTCCTCCCAATTCTTTAAACCTTTTTTTTCATTTTTTTCCAGCTCCTCAAATAGACCAGGCAAATGAATAACCACACCATTGCCTGAAATAAAGATAAATCAGGTAGCATTAAATAAATTACAAATACAGTGTTAAATGAGCGGCAATTCCATTACGCCAACATTATTTGATAATCCGAAATGAAGCACAAAGAATTCAATCATGAGCGGAGCACTGCTGCAACATTTAAGTACAAAAAGTGTAATAATGCATTTTTGGGGGATCCGTATAGCGGGAAGGCACCCTTGGAGCTATAAATATTGCGATAGAACAAGAACACAGAACACAAAATTATTTTTTTTTTGCAGAAATGCATTGTAACCATTTCCCGTGCTTTAGAATAGTTGAAATTAGAATTAACGTTTGCTCTGAAATCTAAGGGTTTTCTGAACATGAACAATTTTCCTGTAGAAATACGTAATTTTCATTTTATGAATAATTTTTAATGACTTTAGAATAACCGAAACCTGTTTACATTGAAATTATTTTTCTCAATAATACTTAAAATTATTAAAAATACCGACATACTTTTATTTCGGCAGAACAATTATTGCATTTTAGATTCAAAAAAATATTTTCAATCCAAAGCAAAAAGCAATTTTCGAACTGATTTCGTATTTCCATAGGAATATTTTTGGAAAACTCTTAGAATTCAGAGCAACATCAATTTCAACTGATTTCAACTATTCAAAAGCCCGGGACTGTACAATGGCTTTTTGCAGGACTTTTTTAGCGGGAAGATAGTCTCGAGGTTATACATATGCGATAGAACAGGAAATATGTGCAGCGTGATCGGTTGTAGACTTGTGCAATTGTGCAACGTTTTCAAAAATGTAATTGTTTGCGGTCTTGAAACGCTGGGCTTGCTTGAACAGGGAGCGGCTCAACTTTTGTTTAACCGTAATTAATTACATAAACAAGGATTGTACTTTTAAATGTAGAACGTAGAATTACACATATTTTTTGGAGAAATGCATTTCTAAGTGTTTTTCTGGACATCAAAAATCACTTTTCTGCGGAAATATAAATATGTATGTTTTTAAAAATTTTAAGCATTATTGAGGCCAACGATATAGAGGCTCAAATAAAAACCCTTTTTATTAATAAGAGAAAAAACCACTTATCCTTGGATATGTATTTCGTGCAAAGAAAATGTACTACAAATACACCTGTACTAAATATATTATTGAATTATTGTTATTAGATTTTTTTGCAAAAAAACTTTTTTGTCTCGTATTTTCTCTAATTTCAGTTTTATTGTAACTGCTTTCGATTATTCCAAAATCCGGAAATGAAAATGATGTATTTCCACATTCCAAAGGCAGAAATATTTCTTTATATTATATATGTATGATTTTGGATAAAGGAAATTTGTCAGCAGCCGGCAAAGAAGATATTCCGGACATCCTTTTTATCTCAGACATGAATCTAATAAAAGATTTATGAAATTTTATGAAGTTATACGGAAATATGAAAATGTTTTCCGGTTATCGAACATGGTGGCGGTTAGACACTCGTGGATGCATAGGATAAAATCGAACATAATTGCGAAAATAAACTCACACCAATATAAATTTATGGGCGGATAAATGGAACAGCAAATCTAGATGACATCTATTATAAAGAAAGAATGATTGCAAAATTTTGATTTAAGAATAAGTAAAGAAATATTTATAATTATGTGATAATGTGCATGAGAGAACCTTTCTAACTGGACATATTTTATTAGTCTCGAAAAGAAATTTCACAGTAATATTCCATTCAGTGACAAACAGGATGTAAATAGGTTCAACAAATAAATTGTTTACAAATAAATCAAATGAAAATTGCCCCAACATTAATTAGAAGTGATAAGCAATTTATTGCAACACGTGCAACTAAAAGTACTTTGATAAAGCACTCAAACTTTACGCGTGCTTTGCAAGCAAATTTTGAATTAAATTTGTTCGCGGGTTCCAGACCATTTATAAAGATTTTGAAAAAATACTAAACAAAGAGAACCCAACAAATTGACAACTTGTGTTTATAAATTTTTAATAATAACATTTTACAATATATCAATATGAACGCTATGCATAATAAGGACAGCCGTTTAAATTTTAAAATTTTATCACATTATTTGCCTTAAGATAACCAATTTTGTGCTTTGAGTCGACAACTTGACTTAACAATAACAGGTAAGACAGTATCATTATTAGCAAGATAATACATGATTTGTCTTCCAAATTGGTTAATAGCAAACAAAAAAATACTTTTTAAAAAATATGGGAAAGAACATCTATCATAAAAATTATTATCTATTTTCCAATCGTTTTAGATAAAAATCTAAAATGTTGTTTACGACTTGTCAATAGGCTGTTGTATTATATTATGATATGAGATTTAAGCTAATGCATATCGGGTGTATTTATGTACATTTTGAAAAATGTATATATGTAAAATATGCTTGAATTTTAAACGGAACTCTCTGTATAACAATTCATTCGCGATTTAAAAGTATTATAACATACTATACATACATATTTTAAAGCTTTTTGAAGTTAAAAGAAAAAAAACTAAAATTAGGCAATTCAGGAAAATACGCGCAAGCCATCGCGATATATTTTGACAATTGAATGTTATCAAGGTGTTAAAAAATTGTGTTATGGGGAATTCATATTCAAACGATTTATTAATATAACAAACAAAATAAGAGTTTCTGTTTGTATTGAACATCTCTTTTTCTTTTTAAGTTTGGATCTTTTGTCTAAATCCATTTACCCGCGTTTTGCAAAAGGAAAAATAAAAATGATTTTTTATGTTTAACACATTGCATCTTCTTAATAAAGCATCTTCGTATAGCATCACCTCTTGACTGTCATCGATTACAGGAGAATCATGATAGGTTTTCTTTGTGATGCAGACAGAACAATTTAACTCTTAATACAAACAAGTGCAAAATTGTAAGCTTTAGCAGATCCAAAAATCCAGTAACTTTCACCTATCATTTGAACTCTGGATCGCTCGAGAGACAGAACCTAGTTAAAAATTTTGGAGTTTGGCTCGATTCGGAGCTCATATTTACATATCACATTGATTTTATGACTAACAGAGCTATTCGATTGCTTGGGTTTGTTTTTCGAACTTTAAAGGGTTTTGAGAACATCTTTACGTATAGGGAGCTGTACTGTGCGCTTGTGCGTTCAATTTTAGAGTATGCTAGCTGTGTCTGGCAACCATACTATGCAATTCACAAGGAAAGAATAGAGCGTGTGCAGCGTAAGTTCCTTAGAGGGATAGGTTTTAAATTGGGAATGTCATTTGAGGAAATAAACTATGAGATTATAAAGCTTTTGAATTTGACATCGTTGTATAAAATCATTAATAACTTGATGGATGCATTAGATCTTCTGGAATCTGTTGGTTTTCATATTTCTGCTATTAATGCAAGAAAAAAGGCTCTTTTTAACATTGATATTCAATTGAATATATAATTTCCTCTTAAGCCAACAATTATTCTATTTTTATAATTAGTTTAGTAATTTATCAATCTTACCTATGATTGATTTTGCGTTTGGTTGTATAATACCACTTGGCAGTAAATGGAAATCATATTCCACACCATTTACAACTACTGTGTGACCTGCATTATTTCCGCCCTAAAATACAAAAAAGTAATAAAAACAACAGAATCACATCACTATTTAGTTAACAGTTATGCAAGTGGGATAAACCACGACAGTTGAAAATTAACATTGTGAGTTCCTTATCTAATAATGCAGATAGCATTAAACGATTAAACGTTTTAATGTGGCTTTAATTTTGCCATTAAACTTAGTTAGTAGAGGAGATCAATTCCAATTTCTTTAATTTGTAAAAAATTGGACCAATCAACAAGGTCAGATAGAATTCATTACAAATCTTAAAGCTATCGAATAAAATAATTTAAATTCATAAATAAAAAACAATTTAAAAAAAACTTAAAATAGAACCAACTGATGAAACTACAATTCCAAGTCATGTGAATCTATATAATGTCAAAATTAAACTTTAAGCCAGAAATTACATAATGTTCAAATACATACAAAAAAACCAAATATATGATGAAACAATAAACAAAAAATTGTTTGAACGAAAGTTTTGCTTAGGTACCTGGCACCGGCAAACTAAGTCGGCTGTAGAAGCCAACAAATCAACCACTTTTCCTTTCCCTTCGTCGCCCCATTGCGCCCCTAAAATTACTGTAACTTTTTTTTCCGAAAGTTCCGATCGCGACTTTTTCCTTGGCGAACCATTCATGTTAAATGGATTTTGATTTAACCTCAAAGAAGATTATTACTTTAAACCACTCCACTTCGCTCAGTCAAATGCGATCACAACCCATGGATGATTGAAATTACAACCCAATTGATAAACACAGAACATAAAACGCATTGAACACTGTAAACCAAAGGCAGAAAGATAAATCAGCAGTTCTCAACAATGACCAGTTGTATGACGTATAACGGTCCGTTAAATCCGACGATATGATATCAATTACATTGCTCTATATTGCAAATCGTAATAAGTGTGGTATTTATTATTCTTTGTAAAGTATTTCTAAATCAGATTTTTCCAAATATGTAAGTGGTTACTACGCACTGAAAAGCAATAACTATTATAGATCAATTTAACCAATACCAAATTTTTGGATTGATGTCACTATAGTACGTCATATCACTTGTGTAGTCAGTGAGTTAAATGAAATTTTATTGTGTTAAATAGAAGCCGTATTGTATTGATGTCTTTATAGGTCATTGAAGAGTAAAATATATTATGTACTTATGTATGTATATTTCGGAATGTATACGTGATGAAATTTTTAAAAATAGATATTACGTCATTATAAGGTAGTAATCAAAAATAGTATTTCTTACAATTACAGCCCCTCTCCTCTCCAAACTCCAAACATCCTGCTGACCTCGCCAATCTTCATTTATTTATCATTTGGTGATCCATTAGTTTAACAATAGACGAAGTATTTAATTCTTTTGAAGAAAAAATTGCAACACTTCTTTGTGATGGCTTCACCCATTGTAAATCCGGTAAGTTATAGAGTTGCAGTTGAGAAATATTAATTTATTTATGTTTGCACGTACAGGAAATTCCCTATGTTGGCGATATACCAGGAGGCTTAGCTCCTGGGAAAATGATTCGTATCCAAGGTGTAACCCACCCCGAAAGCGATAGGTATATTTATCATTAATTTTAAAATAACTTTCCAAAATAATGTTGAACTTTTCGCAGATTTAATATAAACTTACAAGCTGGACCTTCTGCTAAACCAAGGGATGATACTGCATTGCATATTTCTGTAAGATTAAATCAAGGCTACATAGCTAGGAATAATTATAAAGATGGATCTTGGGGTGATGAACAAGGCAGTGGGTCTTTACCTATAGGGTTGGCTCAGTCCTTTGAAATACTCATACTAGTTGATCTAAATCATTTCAAGGTGGGGTAAATTGGACTTAATTCAAATAAGTTTGCAAACTATTTTTAGATAGCAATAAATGGTCAACATCACTCAGAATTCCCTCACAGAATGTCTGTGGAAGAAGTTACTCATTTGCTTATAGATGGTGACGTGTCTATTACCCTTATATCATATGAGGGTATTGTCATAGGTAAGATGTTTTTTATAAAAACTTCCATAATTGAAAAGTGAAATTAATCTTTGACCTCATTCAAGGAAAATTCAATATTAATTTAAATGACATGATCTATATAAATTTAATTGAGTCATCTGGGTCAGAATTAGATTCCTCTGATTCTGACGATATTCCGTTTTCTAGTTCTTTTAGGACAAAAATAACAATCATCACTATGTTTCCTAGGCTCTGGCCATATCATAGGAACACCAAAGGTTAAACTGTCTAGTCTGTCCAAAGCAGACTAAATTATGTCAAAAAAGGCCTCATTTAGTATATTTTGTACTTGATCTCTACCTATATTTGTGTTTCAGGTGGGGAATCAGCCTCTCAAGCTTCACAGTTGAATGCTGTTGGCCCACAAGAAAGTGGACAACAATATGGTCCTCCACAAGGTGGATATGGTCCCCCACCAACTAGTTATGCACCACCACCTGGTTATGGAGGTCCTCAAGGTTATGGACCTCCTCCTCCAGTAGTAAGTCTTGTTCAAGTTATCAAGAATATGTTTTTAATATTTTTTAATTATGTTTACATTAATAAGAAACTTGTTAAATTTAAAGGTATTTTGACCAATTTTGAAGTCATTGAAATTTTACAATTGATTTTTAAAAGTTTTGATCCCTGTACTGTCAAATTTTAAATAAATTTTTTTTTTGGATCTATCTGCATTTTGAAAGTGCTTTTGGGATCACAAGAATCAGTAATCTTAAAAAATTGATCGATATTTAAAAAAAATTAAGTAATTTGCTCCCATTGGAAGTTCAATTTTATTAATTATAACCATAAAAAGTGTTCTATTCATATTCATTGTCAATGTTCTAGGGTTGATTTAGTAACATGTTTTGGTCAAATTCAATACAATGTTACTTTTATGTTCTTTTCATCATTTATGTTTGACTTTACCATTTGTATTTGGCTCATTACCTGAAAATCTTTATAAATGTCCATTAGGAACAATCTGGATTTAGTAGCTTTTTAAGTCAAGCTCAAGAAGCTTTGGCCGGAGCTATTGCAACTGGAGCTGCAGAAAAGTTGCTTGGATCGATTCTACCATCTTCAGGTGGGCAGCAACAACAACCCCAGGGCTATGCTCCTCAAAATGCAGTAAGTGTATTTGTTATTTTTTGAAATATTTGTTGTTTTTAATATAAGAGAATGCGTGCAGGTACTAAAACAAAAAAAATACAAGTTGCTTTTGCAAGTAGTCACTAGTAGAGACAATTTAGAGTTGTTTTCATATGATATTAAGTTTTTGTTAGTCATATTAAATTTTATTCTTTATGAATCTTTTCCTCACAATCATAAACAAATGATGCAGGGATCAGTAACTTGCCCATCCAAAATTTAGACAAAATTTGTGGCGCAAAAGGACCCTAATTGACCTGTTTACTTTGATGCACAGTTTGTTATTTATTTTTTAAAAAACATATAAACTAACCAAAACTATTTATTTAGTTCTGCTTCCATAACATTCACAAAGTTTTCCACATTGCCTTTTTTGTGGTGTCAATTTAGTTTTGCATGCTTGTAATAATTATTGTTAATTAAAAATTGTTCATGTTTATGTCCACTGAAGTGCCATAAATATTTACCGGGTGCTGTTAAGTCTACGAGGTAGAACAAAGACTGGTGATTGTTTATTTTTAGAATATGCAGTTTTTAACTTCTCTGTGATTTAGAGGTATGGAATATATCCAGAATTGCCAAAAGAGGACGCTACAGATATTATCAACAGTTCTGGTGGTGTAATCACAACAAATCTGAAAAATCCAGGGCTTCCAGCAGATAAACATCTTACACAAAACCAAGAACCACCTGAACACAGACCAGATTTAATTGAAAATTTGTTGAAGATGTTAGCGCATGGAAAAGGTCAATCATTAAATCATCAACCAAACATGGATCAACAGAATAAATCACCTACAAATTATCAACCTCCCGAAAATATGTTTCCTCAAAATGAAACAAGTGGTTCAGACATGCTTACTAGCCTGATTTCAGGACTAATATCTCCAAACACCAATCAGCAGAATATACAATCTCACAGTCAATATCCAAAAAATTCTCCGATTGAAGGAAACACTGTACCTCAGGACCCTCAAAATTCAGATCTGATAACCAATCTACTCTCTAGTTTATTACCTAATAGCAGTAACACACAGAAATTACAAGTTCAAACTCAACCCCTGGTAACTTCCCAGGAGACCACACTTCCACAAAATAAAAACACTGGCACTGATTTGCTAGCAACTCTATTATCAAGTTTAGTACAACCGAATAATGAAACTGGTTTAGGACAAGTTAACCAAACATGTCAAAATCAACCTCCAAATCAACCAAACCAACAGCAGCCAACTGCAGAGCTGATAACAAATTTATTATCAAATCTTCTAAAAAGTGGAAGTTTGCAACCTACACAAGGACAATCTCAAATACCACCACAAATTCCACTTCAACAGGCGGGAATGAACCACGGACAAAATCAGCCTCCTCTTCCCAGTGAACAAACAACTAACCAATCTGAAAAACCTAACAGTGTACCTGACCTGCTCCACCCAAATGTCCAAGTGAGTGTATATGAATAAACAATCACCTACATACTGATACAACAGTTCGCTGACATATATGAGACTGATTGGTTATTTTCTTAGTGCTTTGGTTCAATTAACCCTGTTAAATATATACTAATAAATAAATACTTGGAATTGTTGTTAACAGAAGAAGCACTTGTTTTAAAAGAGGCATAAGAATGCATGATTAGAAAGAATTGCTCATATTATTTTGTTGAAAACAACACCAAAAAAAAAGTTTCTTTTTTTTAGTAGTTATATAAATGATCAACCATTTTCATATATCAGTCCATACACATATTTTGAAATGTGTAAAAAATTATAGTTGACAATGTTTCGGCTAGACATATATACCTTCATTTGGCCTATATTTTTCTCTTGATTGAAAATGGTAAATATCCTGCATGAAGTACATGAAGCCTATTATCTACGCTATTATCTTGATTCGGGTTTAAAGGCCGTCGTCGGTTGGAATTACTTCCTAACGTTTCGCTAGCTCGAGTGGCGAGCTTCTTCAGAGGTCTTTCCATCTCCGATGTTGGACGTAGACTGACGATTTCTCCTGCGCAGGTTGTATTTATGCCGATTGGTGGTGGGCGGGGCTTGTTCCGCTTCGGTTGGTCTCGGGATATCGATCGGTACTGCTCGGGCGTTCCTAAGGATCAGGTTCCAGATTTGGTTGAGTCTAAGGGTCTTCTCCTTTCTGTTGAAATTGTGTGGGTGTTTTTGTATCTCAATGGCTTCCCTGACTAGTCTGTTGTGATAGCCGTTGACCGATGCTAGTAACTTACAGCTCTCAAAGTGTATCCTGTGTTCCCCGCTGCCCAGTGCGTGTAGAGCTACTGCAGACTTCTCTGTCTGTCCTAGCCTGCAGCTTGCTTTATGTTCCTTAAGTCTCGTTCCCATTGATCTCTTGGTAGTTCCGATGTAGACCTTTCCGCATGAACACGGAATGCGGTAGACTCCTGCAGCTAAAAGTGAGTCCCTCTTGTCCTTCGCTGACCTGATGGTCTGCTGGATCTTCTTTGTAGGCTTAAAGATTGTTTTGATGTCGTGTCTTTTCAATACTCTGCCAATCCTGTCGGTGACACTCGGAATATACGGCAGATATACGTGGGAGGTGGAGGGTCGTTGTTCGGTATCCCGTGATCTTGATGATCTTGAGTTCATTGATCTCTCGATCTCCCTCTTGCTGTAGCCATTTGCCTCGAACGCAGTTTTCAGGTGTTCAAGTTCGATCTGGAGGTTCTCCGGTTCGCAAATCCTTCGGGCTCGTTCTGTCAGAGTTCGGATAACCCCATACTTTTGACTTGGGTGATGGTTGGATAGAGCATGCAGGTATCTGTCCGTATGGGTTGGTTTTCTGTACACTGTGTGGCCCAGCTTGTTACCTCGCTTCCTCACTAGTACGTCTAAGAATGCAAGTTGTTGGTCATTTTCAGTCTCCATAGTAAACTGGATGCTGGGATGCTGACTGTTGAGATGCTGCAGAAAGTTGTTGAGCATGTCCATACCATGTTTCCAAATCACGAAGGTATCATCCACGTACCGGAACCACGTTGCTGGCTTGTACTCTGAGGTCTCGATCGCTTTTTCCTCAAAGTGTTCCATAAATAAGTTGGCTATAACCGGGCTTAATGGACTTCCCATTGCCACTCCGTCGGACTTCAAAAAGTTTGCAAATATCGACAGGGAATATCCTGTTCACCAGGTCCAAGCAACTCTTCAGAGGTACTTTGGTAAACAGTGAGACGACGTCGAAGCTCACAAGGATGTCGTTTTGTTCAATATTGATATCTTGAATCTTGCGTACGAAGTCGGTGGAGTCCTTTATGTAACTGGTGACGTGTCCTACGTGTGGTTGCAGCAGCGATGCCAAGTGTTTAGCCAAGTAATATGTTGGTGATCCGGGTGCGCTAACTATTGGTCTTAACGGGACATCTACTTTGTGTATCTTAGGTAGTCCATAGAGCCTTGGTGGAACAGTCTCCGTCCTCAAAATGCGCTTCTTGATTTCTTCTGACAGTGATGATGACTTGATGAGCCGGTTGGTAAGACGTAGTCTAGCTTGCGTCGGATCCTTTTTCAGGGGTTTGTAGCTTCCCGGGTCCAAGAGTTCCTCAATCTTCCTTTCGTAGTCCTCGGTCTTCAGAAGAACGGTTGCGTTTCCTTTATCCGCTGGGAGTATGATGATACCCTCATCCGTGTTCAGGCTACGCAGTGCCAGTCCTTCACTTCTCGTCAGGTTAGACTTGGGTGGTTTTGCCTTTCTGAGGATGTTGGCTGTCTCGATTCGTATCTCTTCGGCATCTTGGTCCGGTAGGTTCTTGACGGCTGCTTCCGTGCTGGAGATGATCTCTTCAATCGGAATGTGACGGGGAGTGATTGCGAAGTTCCCTCCTTTGGTTAGCACTGTTCTCTCGACCTCCGTGTCCGTCAAATTGACCACGAGTGACTCACTGTCTAGGCTTGCTGTTTTGGGCGCTTGTTTTTTCGCAAACTTCTCGTACTTCCTTATCTGTTGCTCCTTTGTGCGGTCCAGTTGGTTCCTCATGTTGGAATGTGAGATTGCATCCATTCTGTCCCAATTCTGTTGTTCGATCTTGTTGCCCAGTGTTAAGTGCAGGCCAAGAAGTTCCTCGTCCGTCTTCGCAAGGCTACGACGAGTGTGGTGAATTCGTTCCCGGAGAAAAGCTTTCTCAGTCCTGACGTAGATCCTGTTTGCCTTCGCTGATTGAAGAATTCGTTTCTGTCTAAGGAATGCTGGTATGATGTTGGTGTCCCGGCAGCGGCACAGAAACGCTAAAGTGGCGAGTAAGTGCGCCTTTTGCTTCCTTATTTTGTCCAGTCGTTGATACTGTTTACATGTTTCCTCCCCGTAGAGGCGTCTGATAAATTGGTTAAGGCTTTCGCGGCCCGTTGATAAGCTATTATCTTGATTCGGGTTTAAAGGCCGTCGTCGGTTGGAATTACTTCCTAACGTTTCGCTAGCACGAGTGGCGAGCTTCTTCAGAGGTCCTTCCATCTCCGATGTTGGACGTAGAAGACAATTTCTCCTGCGCAGGTTGTATTTATGCCGATTGGTGGTGAGCGGCGCTTGTTCCGCTTCGGTTGGTCTCGGGATATCGATCGGTACTGCTCGGGCGTTCCTAAGGATCGGGTTCCAGATTTGGTTGAGTCTAAGGGTCTCCTCCTTTCTGTTGAAATTGTGTGGGTATTTTTGTATCTCAATGGCTTCCCTGACTAGTCTGTTGTGATAGCCGTTGACCGATGCTAGTAACTTACAGCTCTCAAAGTGTATCCTGTGTTCCCCGCTGCCCAGTGCGTGTTCAGCTACTGCAGACTTCTCTGTCTGTCCTAGCCTGCAGCTTGCTTTATGCTCCCTAAGTCTCGTTCCCATTGATCTCTTGGTAGTTTCGCTGTAGACCTTTCCGCATGAACACGGAATGCGGTAGACTTTTGCAGCTGAAAGTGAGTCCCTCTTGTCCTTCGCTGACCAGATGGTCTGCTGGATCTGCAGAAGTAATTCCAACCGACGACGGTCTTTAAACCCGAATCAATAGCTTATCAACGGGCCGCGAAAGCCTTAACCAACCTATTATCTACATTGCATGAATTACTCTGGGAATTGTTCTGTGCTTTGTTAACTATGTAAATGATCAATTTTACAATATCATCAAAGTTGCTTTTAATTTCCAGCAATATGGTCAGTATCCTCATCCTCCACAGCAAGAGCAAAGGGGTCCAGTTGAATCTCTTCTTTCTGGTTTATTGTCTAGTGGCGGCCAGCAACCTCAAACGGTAAGTTTATATCTAAATAAAAATTAACGATGGAATAGCCTTGTTTCAGTTCCAACGTATACAAGTAGGAACCGAGATTCGCAATATTTCGTCTTTTTTATCTAATAAAATATGTAATATTTGTTTAAGGAAAAGAAGCCTGTTCAAATTTCTTATTTGTTGGCTTTACGGGTGTAATTTTGAATATACAATTTTATTACAAAAATTCAGAACTCAAAAGGAAGGGAGCAAAATTTAATATGGCCAGGAGCGAGAGAATTATACGGGATATCGAAGGTTCATTTTATTTAACAAATGAATAGATTGATGATTTAGATTAAATACAAATTGGGTTTATGTTTCAATTCAAATGTTAAAGAGGGTTCCAGATTTTTTTTTTCACTTTTTTTTTGTATTTTAGCAACAACCTCAAGGTAGCGATGCACTGGGTAGTATATTCTCATCGTTGGCAGGCTCACTCTTCCAAGGTTCAAGAGTAAGTAAATATATTAGTTCTTGCCAACCTTTTATTAAAATATTCAAATTTATTGCAGGATTCCAGTCGACCAAATTATTAGAGGTCGTTTCATAATTTTACTGATTGAAATATATAAAAACGCTTTTATCGCTTGTAGGCTACATTTATTAGGACCTAGACCTGGTTATGGTATTTAGTTTTTTAAATTTATTTATTGTTGTGTCGGTGTTTATATACATAGATGTTGAAATTAACTTATTTACATAAAATTTTTATTTTTTTATAGTTACTGACTTTTTACTTCTTTTATTATAAATCTCTATAAAAAAAAATTGTAAGGTAAGCGCTAGTGCCTAGTGTTATAAAGCTTTAATATTTGCATTGTTATTTCCTGTTGTTGAATTTGGTGCTTTTGTAACTTAAATTTTGAATCATAGAGATATAGAAGTGCCTCGATCTAAGCGAGTAGACTGCACAAAAAGCGAATATAGATTATAAGTTTTGAAATAGCTTTTAACTGTTTTTCTAATTTACGTCGAAACACGTTCTTGATTGTAAAGATTATTTCCAGTTATAATTTTTTTTTTTTGAAAGATTAAATGTGATTTTTGCGACCTGGGATGTTTTTTTTATTCTACAGCGCTAGACTGCCAAGTTGATTACTATATGAAATAGATAATCAACCTTCTAATCAATGATTTGCAAAAGTGTTTTGATTTCACTATAATTGTCCGACAAAGGTCTTCACTGCTGCTGGTGACAAAGCATACTTCCGAGAACTAGGCTTAGAAAGTCTATCACTATAAAATTCTTTATCTTCGGAAGTTTTTTTACACTTGCAGACGATAGATCTTGCATTGAAACATACCTCAAAAGTCACATTGAAGTGTTATCTATATTATCCAAACAGCAAGATTATTTTTGTTATGCCAACTGCGAACGAATGAAAAAGATGAAATGCCTTATGTAAACCTCTATTTTATTATCACTGCACTTACTTATGTACTTATGAATTGAAGATTGTAGCCCAAACGACTTGCGAACTTATCGGTGATTTGATAATGCCATTGAAGTTTAAGATTAATATTTATTTAAAGCAATATTTTTTTGTTGTAGTATTTTGGCACAGAGCATGATTTTATTCACAAATAAATTTTAGAAATGGCTCAGTTAAGAATAATATTTACCCTAGCAAGGATTTGAAATACCCAGTCTGACTAAATCGATGCGACATCCCAGTCTGACACTCGGAAATTAAAAATTCAAATAAGACTACAATTTTTGAGACTAAAAGTAAGGCCATAATAAATTTTATTTCTGTAGCCTATCCTCTTAATTTAAAAGGGAAAAAAATACTTCCAAAGAAGCACTTGATTTTGTTAGCAAAGAAAACTTTCTTTAAATTTTGATTGATATATTTAATAATTATTACACAAACTATAAATAAAATTAAGGTAAAATGCACTTCGGCAATGTTAAAATTACATTGGAAAAACACAAAAATGAGCTAGTGAAACGAAACACTTAATTTCATATTATTAAGATTTTATAATAGCTTAATAAGAATTAAATATTATAGTTATTGTATACATTAGATAGAAAAAAAAATATGAAGGTTGGCAATAGCAAATAAAACACTTTTAATTTCCAAAATAAGTTTCATAACAGTGTAATAAAAATGAAATATTAATTATCGGCGCACTTCAAGGGCATCAAATTGATTTCACAAATGATATTTTACCCAATAGTAGCATCCCTCTGCAGGACATTGAAAAACAGTCAATAGAATACACAGCCCTTAGGAGCCACTTAGTTAGAGTCAGAGTCTGCTCCTATATGATTCCTAAAATTCACTTTTGCCTTTTTCACTCTTTTCCTAAACTTTTCATATTTTAATTCTTCATCAGAACTAGGGGTGTTATTTAAAGTTGTTGAACACTCTTGGTGATTTCTGAGATTTCTAATGGAATATGCGCTAGAACTCGAACAAGGACCTGTAGCACAACCACTATCTGATGCACTAATGGTGCGCCTCTTTTTAGTTGGTGTGTGATAATCATACTCAAAATCAGTTTCACTATCAGTAGCACTTAAGACAACACTCCTGTTGGTTCCATTCACTGGTCCACCTCCACTAGTAGAAGCACAGCCATCAAGATATTTTCTGTCAACAATTTGAAGAGTTTCTTGTGTAGTTCCGCTAGTCGAGGCTCTAGATGAAATTTCATTTCTTGTACTGCGATTGGAGTTGCCGTTTGACATTTCAAGGGCGGAAATATACTTATCTTGGGTACCATTCAATGGAGTTGGAAGAATATTTATTAAGTTGTCTTCCTCTGCGGTATTATTCGATTCATGATTGCCATTGGGCAAAGAAATCTCTTCCTCCGAATCTTGATCGGTAACCTAAAATTTATATTAATATTATTAATATTAACATTATGCTCTTACAGCATCTATATTTGTTAAATTGATTACAAAGATGATATATCAGCAATGGCCCCTAGTACTAATTTTAGTTTCTAGACTCAAAAAGATGTGGTCCAATCCACTTCCCTTTAAAAAATTTAATAGTATGATTTATCTGTTATACATTAGTTGTGCGCAAGATAAACAACATTTGGAACCAATACCTTATCAAATGTTATCGAGAGACTGCCTTATCTAACTAAGCCTGTATATGACATCTTGTAGCGTTCTACAAAACAAGGAGGTGTTGCTCCAAGCAATAATAAAAAAAGAATATTCTTTTAGAAACCAATACTTACTCTAAATACAGCATTTGAACTGGTAATTCCGGTACTTGTGCTTGGTCCATCTAATAAAGTATTTGAATTGGATCTATCACTATCTCTTAAACTCTGTCTAGTACGGTATGTATAAGTCCTGAAAACAATATTTTTCTACAGCTTGTTAAATACCGACCCCTTATTATTTTATTAACATATTTCTAAACAAGGATCTCTGAAGCTACAGTTGATTCTAACAGAAACACTTATTTGCATGTATATAAAACTTTGTATAAAAACTGGGATTGAGAATTTAATTCTGTAGTAATATAAGTAATAAATACCCAGTCTAAAAATGCTTCTTTGATAAAGAAAGTTAACGCTTTCTAGCAGAGGTATTTGAATAAACAGTGAACAAAACTGTACTAGTTTCTCAATTTTTCGAGTTCTGATTGAATTAAAAATGCTAAAAGTATTATTGAAAGTTTCACGTAATAATAAAAGTTAAATCAAGATAAATTATCTACAGGGAACTTCCTCAACAATACTGGAATTTGTCAATAAATTTAATTTTAAACGGTTAGTGCCGTTTCGTCGATGTTGATATCTCAAAAAATTTTATTACAGAACATGAGCGTTTTTTATAACAGAATTTTATGTCTTGGGAAATTATCTTATCTTATCTTATTATATCTATTTAACAAAATAATGAATAAAACCCGGAGTTAAATTTTGCAATAAAATATTTAAATTGGAAAAAGCTAAGAAGTTTTAGTTACCTATTATTTTCCAAAGTTGATTTATTTTTTCTTGTTTCTCCAAATACATTTTTTCTGAGATTTTTTCTGGAACATCCATTTAATTTTTGCTGCGCCTTCTGTTTCATTTTTCGCTTTTTCATTTTCTCCTTTAACAAAGTTCTGAAATGTGATATTTTTTTTAATGTAAATTTTAGAAAGTTACAATCACCAACCTCTGCACTGAACTTGGCGACTTATTGTGTGCCATCTTGGCCAATCGATTTCTTTTCTTCGATATGAGTTGGGCTATTTTGTTGTATTTGTGCTTCTTTGGTTCCTCATTTGTAGAATTTCTTCCATTACGAAACATTTTTGAAACAAGTTTAGACCAATCTTGCTCCTGGTCATCGCTATCGCTATCAGTTGAAAAGAGATCTTCAGAACTAGATACCCATCCTTCAATCTCTCTTTGAATTAAAGAATCAAAAAATGCCATCATTTTGGCATCTTCAAGTGTTGATTGGTCACTATAGTCATGGGAGATCCTCTAAAAAGTTGTATTTTAGCATGCAAACATTACCATGTAACAAAAACATACCTCACCACCTCCACCCACCAACTCAACGTAATCTTGATGTGAATAGACAATACGAGCAGGATCACAATGTTCCCTCAAAAGAGATCCTCGCCAAGTTCCTATCGGGATAGTACTCCACAATTTGATCATTTTCTCAACCCCTGATGATGCTATTAAGTTGTTATGTTTATTGTAACGAACTTGATTTACAATGGACCTATGACCCCTTAGAACCATATGTGAGGTACCCCACTCTGCTGAAAGAAATCATTTCACATAATCATTAATTATATTTTATGGCTTGGGAATGACCCATCATTTTGCAAAGTAGAAAGTTTTAAGAGGAAAAATAATAGTTAATTAATGAATTATCTCAAATATGTCATCGTTAAATTCTTTTAAAATTATTTTATATGAAGTATTTACAGAAATTTGAGGAAATATTCTGATCAAAAAACAAGACCCATACAAAAATAATTTTCCAAGTTAAGATTTATCACATCTCCGTTACATTTAAAACTCTCATATAGAGACTTTGTATGAAGGACTCATAATCTCACCCAAGTTTCACCTCGACAGTCATTATACAAATATGTTGTCAAGCAAGAGAACTAAAGAAAGATAAAAATGCCTTAAAAATCCTCTGGCGAAACTGGATCATTGAAGGTTGCAAACTCCTACTAGATGGATGGAGACTTACCATTGTCTTGAGGTACTTTCCACATATATAAATTAAAGTCATCAGATCCACTCAGGACATATTCGTCATTGTCACCAGCAAATGAACAAGTCTTCATTGTACAAGAGTTGTAATACTGGGGATGATAAAACTGGCACACAGCTTTCTCACACTGGGTTTCATACAACACAGGAGGCAATCGCCGCCTCAAAGCCAACACCATTTTACCAGTTGAATTGAAGCAAGCACTAATTCCACTTGCTTTACCACTACTTACATCATAATGGACTAATTCTCTAAAAATTTTTCAAATTTATTTATGATATATAAAATGGAAATTTATACTTTCCAGATATTTAATCACTACTTACTCTTTTGGTTTTCGGCAGTCCCATAAGACGATGCCCTCCTCTGAATTAGCAGATACCAAAAATCGAGGGTTAGTGGGATTGAACATCACAGAATGAAAGCCAGTCTTTTGTTTTGCAAGGACTTGCGCCTCTATAAAAACATCTCTTTGAAATAATTATTGAAGTTGCAGTTGTAAACATAATTTTAATTTTTTCTCCATATATTGTTCTCTAGGAGCAGTATTTATTTATATTTATTAATTAAAATAATAATAAATTGTAATATTAATAGGATAAATATTATTGGGCAACACTTGCCTTGATTAGGTGCCTCACGAACATCAAACAATAAAAGTCTCCCATCTTCACCAGCAGTTGAAATTATTTCATCATTCTGAGGATTAATACTTAACCCATATACTGGTTTTCTATGAGGAATACTTGTTATGGCATTTCCACTACAAAGGAATAGAGTACAAATGAAAACAGTTTGTAAGCAGAGGTTTGATTGTTTTGCACAATTAAGTAATGTGGAACTTAATAACTCAATAACTTTGATAAACTAAAGATTCAAGGCACAAAAAATATATTTATTTTGCTTACGAATAAACTTCATGGATAATAACTTGGTCATCATTTCCTCCAGAGAAGATCCTTTCATTTCTTGAATCAAAGGCCACACAAAAGATATTGCTAACATGTGGTTTTCGCATTACTACCGGACTACCTTTGTCATATATTGATTCGAGGACTGACCATAACAAGACTCTTCTATCATCTCCACCTTAAAAAATTAAAATACATATTTTATACAATACATTGTCAGAATTGTCTAAAATATTTTTGGGGATTAATCAATTTGTTAAATACTCTTATTCCCTCACCTCATGTTTAATTCATTTTTTTTCTATTCAAAATTCAGCTAAAAAGGTAGGTAATTTTCGAAAGTTTATCTAACATATTCATTTTATGCATTTTGGATAGCAACTAATAATTATCTAAGCTTCTTTTAGATATGGCCACCACTGTGTGTAGTAGGAAGTTAGCAACTTTGAAATAATATAAATGATTAATTCAATACCTTTGGCACTCAAATTTCGTAGAAGGATAGGAATGTGATAATTCAATACTTACCAGAAACCAACAGTTCACCCTCAGCAGAAAATTCAATAGCGTTAACACACCCATAATGAGCAAAAAGATCTTTTCTATAAAAGTTTCTAGCCCTTGATAACCGTTCCGAAAATATTCTATTTTTTATCAACAATGTATCATCGTATTGTCTGTCCACTACGTATTTTAAAGGATTTAATACCGATGGCCTAGCCATTAGAATTTTATATAAAGTTTATTAACTAAACAGCCACTTTTGTTGACAAAAGTCCACCTAATACATGCACGTCAAACTAAGAACTCCGTCGTGTCACAATCAGCTGTTCTGTGTATTGTCGAAAACATACTGCTTGTAGATACAAGCTGGAATAATGAAAACTTTATCTGATAGGCATTTGAAATGCATTATCAAATAGCAAGCCAAATAGTCATTAAATATCCTCATAAATTAGCATGGTAAATTCCAGGAATGATTTTAATAGACATTTCTTTATTTTTGGAAATTATCGATATGGATTCATACTTCAATTCGACAGAGACGGCTTGAGCCCTAATCCAATATTCTAATTTCCCCTCCCACATTGTACCCGATCTTGCAATATTTTTCATGCACAATAATTTTCCCATCATTTTTTGAACACCTTCATCAAGAAAATTATGACGTTCCAAAACTCAAAACTTCCTAGTCTTAGTCAAATTACCACTTATTATACAGTAAGAATGTTCAATTTTTGAACAATCTTACCCAAGGTATTTAAAATTTTGCACACAAGAAGTTTTAGACACTGTTTATGGATTGTGCAAAAGTTATTTAAAAAATAAATTAACAGTTTTCAATATTTATGGAGATGTGGGTGAAGTGGGTATTGAACCATTTCAATCCGATCAAACACAATATTCAAAGATCACGAGAGAATTATTGGAAGCCATCTTGATTCCTACAAATTTGTCTGCTTTTTTAATATCATACTTCGTATTAGTTTTTTAGTTAAATATTCAATATGAATTTTAAAAACGATGAGACTAGCTACAGTGTTAACAATTGATGATTGATGCTTAAAGATATGGCGTTTAGAATATTTTGTGAAAACGTGTAGAGAAAAGCAATAGTAAAAAAATAAAACAAAAGCAACATGATAAAATAGGTGGCAATTAATGTTTTATCAGCCGTTTTTTTTTAAACAAATTTAATTATATGTAACCACATCCGATCTTACCGGATTTTTGCGTTACGCATTGAGTTTAACTCAGTGGCGTAGTGCGCTCCGCTATGTTTCGATTAGATTTTTTTTTCAAAATGTGCAAAAATCCTCCGTCCAAAGATATGGAAATAAATTTTGTATCTGTGTCATAAAGGTAAAGTTAAATAACACGGGTGATATGTTAACCCGGTTAAAACTAAGTCTAAGTGTTAAAATTCAAAATCGAATCAATACTTCTATTATTGTTTCCGAACTATTTTCCGGAATATGTTAATAGTACATTATGCAAAAGGTTTAATAAATGTTATTTTAGTCACGAAATTGTTTTGGCACTAGCAGAGGAAGTGCTTAATAAACGAAGTAACTGAATAAGTTCATCAACGTGTTGCAAAATGTACATTACTACTACTACAACCCTTAGTTTTGGGTACATTTTTGAAAAACGTCAACACAATAGCTAAAATCTATCGAAAACATCCGATCGCTCTCAAATAGCTTGGGACTGTGGATAACGAAACTGATTGGGTATTTTATAGTACCGAGAAGAAAAATAGTTTTTGTATATCTAAAAATGTTGCCGCTATGTAATTTTAGTTTCTATTTTCTATTAACCATCCAAGATTATGCAAGAAACGACCATGGATTGCAATAGCGTATGAAATCTATATAATGCAAGATTAATGTTCCCAAAACAGCGCAACTCGGGGCAAAATTTTAATAAATAATATTTACGGTATTCAAGAAATAATTTAAAAAAATGTATATAGGTTTTCGGAAAATTTCTTACCCTAATTAATAAATTAGATAAGGGATTTATTCTGGGACACTCTGCATCAATATTGTGTACTTCGTACTTCATCGCCAAGAGACATTTTTATTCTGTTCGCATCACTTTAGGTAGGTAGGTTATGCTTATATGTCTACATTTGCGTCGATCTGACACTGTTACGCCAATGAAATTCTCTTGAACAATTTTAATGACTGTGTGATGCAAACTATTCTAATAGTCGTTTAAAATTTTGCATTTGAAAATATGCTAGTGTCGTATTTTTTGTTATGGTCAAAATTGTTTCTCTCTGTAAATGCATTCAACATAGATGTACGTCACCCAATTATTATAGTTAATCCAGACAAATTACAAAATAAAACTTACTTCGGTTATTCGTTGGGACTTTTTTCAGAGAATAGCGGAGGGTGGTAAGTATCATTTGCATTATTCATTAATTTTATTTTTGAATAATATTTAGTTTTCGTTATTTTTTGCACCATTGTGAAAACAGTAAAAGACCAATATCCAAATATGTGGATAATTCATTATAAATATTCCAAAATGAATACACAGAAACTAGCAAATCGCTTTATATAAAGGAAGTAAATGGCGGTGAACTACAAGAAAATAAAATTTCGGCACCAAAATATTTGTATGTGCGTCGGATTCCATTTTGTTCAAAACCCAAAATATAATTTCGATTTTGGAAATGTTTTGTTAGTTTCTTTATTATTATGCTTCAAAATTATTGCTTTTTGCAAATTGGTATTGTCGGATATACGAATTATTAGGAAAGGTATAATTCTGTACAAAGTTTACCATAAAATGTGGTATTTTACCATTATTTTTTTTACCATTACAAAGTACAATGGCGTGTTTCACCGGGAACTTCCTTGAACTGTTGTTGCGAAAATATCAGTAAAACAAATTTGAAAATTTTGCAATACACTGAAGTCCGGCTTATAAATATTTTTTAATTGGCAACTAAGTGCATTATTTTAGAGTAACATTTTTGTTTTCAATTTCACAGAGGGCTCTAGATGCTAATCATAAGTTATATCATTTAGTAGATGTATTTAAAAACACTAAATAATCCCAAATATGGAGATTTGTATTACCTTTTTGTTATATTTACTGATCGATTTAAGGATCACGGCAATTGGAGCACCTGCTACGACCAAGGATGGAATTGCAAACGTAGGAACTTTGTACACATGCCCATTTCTCGAAAATTGTACAGAAGTTCATTACAAAACGATAAGTATGCACATTTTTTTTACAAATTAATTTAGGAGCATTATAAATCTACCAATAAGTACAAAGTTTAAGTAATTTGTACAGCTAAGTTTTTGTTTACGTTCATAAGTTGATAATTTTTAGGCGGGTATCCACATAAATTGAGCGGAAATTCTTGGATAGGTGGATCCATTGACGTTAGTAACAAATTTAGAAAATTATGTGTAAGTTGTACGAATTCGTTATGTTTTGATTCGATTAATTAGCAATATATATATATATATATATATATATATATATATATATATATATATATATATATATATATATATATATATATATATATATATATATATATATATATATATATATATATATATATATATATATATATATATATATATATATATATATATATATATATATATATATATATATATATATAAAAAAATAGTCATTGTCAGCTATTGTAGTTATTTGGGGTTGTATACACCAAATACTTGAAGTTATGGTCCCCTTACTAATAAAACATATCAATTTCTTACAAACCAGTGCTAAAGACAGGATAAGTCTTTAAAAATTATTGCATTTGAGTTACTCGCAAAAGGGTATGTCCTTTGATATGTACAGGACACGTGAATTTTTGCATTTATAACGCATTTTAGACTCATAATCATAATATATTTTAAAAATCTTTTTTTTTTTCAACCCTCAGGTTTCAAGCGTTGGGGTGCACATAAAATAAGATTATTGCTGGGTCGAAGCGTATAAAGATTTAACTTTTTAAGATTTTTTTAACTTTAACGCTTTCGCCAGTTCATTTTTTAGCCATGAAAATTCAACACAGTCTTAACTATTTATCCTGTATTTTAGGTTTCCTCATTTAGATGGTATCAAGAAGTGGCACTACCTGCCCCCTTTATAATTATGACTGGAGGGTTATTTTTAACAAATTTAAATAAAACTTCTGTTGCATCATTATCGCCACTAAAAAATGGTAAGTGTTGATTTTTAATGGAGCATTATAGCATACGGACATATCTGACACCATGATTATTTTTTTCCAATATAAGAGTAACGATCAGTTAAAGAAAAGTATGCGCAACATAAAATACTTTTTGCTTAGTATGGTATAATTTTTTTAGACCTACATACTAGTTCAAAAGTTTTTTACTACGGAGAAGCCGCCGTAGGATTCTCTATTCATTTTCCTTCAGTAAGTATCCAAATCCAGTGCAGCGTGTAAGTAAACTAATAAAACCGATTTATTTTTTTATTAAGTTATAACCGTAGTCATTTGTTTTATAAAAATGCTTTTGGAAAAGGTAGACTTTATTTACAGCCTGTAAGGCTTGTCAATGTGAAACGATTAAAGGTGATTGGTAAGATATTTATCGCAAAATAAAATAAGTAGATACAATAAAAGTTGCCTAATATTAAACAATTTTCGTTCTTCTTAAAGCAGCAGTTACTTATGTGCAGTGTGTTTATATGACTTGTTGTGTTAGAATGCCGATGAACTACTCCTGGGTGCCCCAGGCATTAACAACTTCTTAGGTTCAGTGGTGAAGATAGACAATTTTTTCACAAAGCAACATCAGGTCGTGGAACCTGCAGGAGATGACTACAATGAATTAGGAGGTAAGGTGCATTAAAAGTTTTTTGTAACATATACAATGGAGTCGTGATTATATTACTGAACAAAATATTTTAGATAACTTTTATTATGGTAAAACAAAACCGAGATAATTCAATGGGAGCTATGATTGTGATCATACTAGTAACAGTTTCTTGTCAGTTTTTTGCCAGTGCCGACTTGCTATCCTCGGAAAACAAGTCGATACTGGCAGTATTGCCAATCTAATAATATTTTCGAATTTTTGCTAGCTATCACTTTCCGGTGAGATACCTTGCTTATTGCAGAAATTATTTTGAAAAGTCGGTAAGCTAGTTTTAGTTTGTACGGCTGCCCATTGTACATTTTTCCAGTACTAGTTTTGCAATTGCAATTGTGACAAATAGAATGTTTTAAAGGGAACAACATTAGAAAAAATATTTAAGTTGACTCACTTTCAGGGTATTCGGTGACATCGGGATATTTTTATAATCGAAATGAACTGTATTATGCGACGGGAGCCCCCAGAGGAACGTATGGGAATGGGAACACTCTTAATGGACTGGTAGGCGAATATTACTTTATTTCTAAAATATACGTTTGTTGAATGATCAAATATAAACTAACTAACTAACAACTAAACTTGTTGTAAGGATAATAAAGTAATCCGCGGGTAAGTTACTACATTTAATACAATTTCATGATTAGATGATGATTTCATGATTAGTTTTGTATTAAAAATTAAAATTAACACATACCCTTATTTAAAAAAAATATTCAAGCAATCACAAAAGTTTCCATCATGGTGTATAGAGTGAGCAATACTCGATATCCCAGCTTCAGAGAAATTAAAAGCGATAGAAAAGTTAAGGCAAAAGATTCATAGATGGAATGAAATAAAATCCATTTTAGAATTTTTAAAACTCGGAAACTGAAAACTAACTTACATTTTTACAGAGTTAAAAAGATATATATTTTTTAGGCACAAATATTGCTTTAAAGGTTACTTTGTTGTTTTTATTTTTTATCTTCTGCAACGCTATAATCTCTGCACAAAAATGCGAAACGAAAATACTCTTTTGGTTTAATCCAAACCTTCATCCGTATTATATAATTTTTTCAAAATCACAATTTCTAAAACAAAAAATTATGGAGCATATCGATTTGGATAGTTTATCATGTTATTATGTTATGAAAAAAAGCCACATGGAACGGAAAATTCAAAAAATGTTTTTCTAACAAATTCGCTCTACATCGACACGGTTACCGAGATCTAAAGCTTCTATAAAAGCGTAGATTCTACTAGAAATTAACCCCATTTCTCTGCGAAATTCAAATGACTTTTCTTAAATGTTCAAAAATCCAGGTATGTTTCCGAAAAAAATAAAAATATTTTAGAAATCAAATTTGCAAATTTAACGTAAGAACCTTTTTTAAAGGTCCTTTATCCTTAGATACCAGAGGGAGATTTGGAAAATACTGTAGAAAATAGAAAATGTGATAAGTAGACGCGAAAAATCAAAAAAATGAATTGAATAGGCACATTAAATTAGCATTTATGAATTGCGTCCTTTTTTCATAATAAACTTTTACGTTTAAGATGTTCTTAAGTGCATAATTCATTATTTTGTTTGTGAACGCTTAATATTTGAACGTAATTTTATTAATTTTGCTTATTGTTTTAGGTTGTATTATTTATCGTCGGATATGAATTCAACAGATTCGGAGAGTTACGTTCGATTACGAAAGCAATAATTTCTGGCACTCAAGTAGGAGAATATTTTGGTGCTTCCTTGGGATCAGGGGATCTCGATTCTGATGGATTAACAGACTTAATAATCGGGGCGCCCTTCAGGAAAAATGGATTGGATGGTTATAATCACGGATCGGTATATATTTATTACGGGGCAAAAGTAAGAACGATTTTTATTTATTTTTATATTATCTAGTAAATTTTGCTCTCTGTAAATTAAATTAAAAAAAAAATTGTAAACTTCATTCCATATGTTCTGAAAAATTGGCACATGCTGTGAATACAAATTACAAATTATTTGCTGTAATCTTTCAGGTATTTTAAATCTTTTGTTTCTTGAACCACATAACACAAATAGGGTGTCGCAAATATTTTAATCAAACGTTGGTAACTACTGCATTGGCTAACTATGTGATACGTAGAATGTTTGAAAGCTACACATCTGATTACCTTCTTTAATTGTCCTTGCTTTAAAAGTATAGCGAAAACGACAATGAAAAATTTTTATTAAAATAATAAAAATAAATATAATGAAATCGGATGAAAAAAAATTAGCTAAAGTTTGTGAAAAGCGGATTATTTTTGCTTAAATTGTTATGAAAATCTTATAGGTGGATCCTATACATTAATTAAAAAATGTTAAAGTTTCTTTCTCCGTCATTACAGAAACGACTAAAGCATAATAAAGAAACGGACAAATTGGACGGTACGGTTAGCGGCGGTCTTTTTGGCTCCTCCATTATGTACTTATCTGATATTAACAAAGACGGATATGGGGGTAAAGTGACCGATACAATAATGTAACTTGATCTAACGAAAACATATTATTTTTAGAAATCGCTATATCTGCCCCTTACGAGGACAAAACGGGAGCCATTTATATTTACTCCTACAGAAAATATCAATTAATATTGATTCAAAAGATTTTAGGTAAAGATGTTGCGCCTGAAATTAGAGGATTTGGCATAAGTTTTTCGAGACCGGCTGATATTGACGGAAATGGATTTGTAGGTAAATTTACAATCCAAAGAAGGTAGAGTCCGAATTATTATACTTGTTTTACACTGACAATAAATTCATGAACTAATTGATGAAACGCATACTATTTAGAGGTTGTCTTTGACTGTTTTTGCTATGTGTTTTTCATCATACTTGGTTTACAATGAATGCTCTCCTGTATAACGGTGTGTCCTATTGTTGGAGAGTTTACGGCGTATCTCCCTTATTAATGAATCTAACGTGTTGCGGCTTTCGTCACACAAGGCTACTTTTTCATGAAATAAAAGGTAGTACAAACTTACTTAAATACCAAGTGATTTTGGAAATTTTGAAACATAAACTAAACTTGTGTCGTTTTATGTACCTATTTTAAAAATTTACTGGGGTTAGCAAATACATTTGTTTGAAACGACCAATACGTGACTTTGATCATAAGTCAAGGAGGATTTCTTAAAAATTTACATTTCTTTGGCAAAAACTAGTGCAATGCAACCCTAGATATTTGATTTTACCGTCAAAAAATTCAATAATATATCTACAAAATCTCGATACATAGTTTCCTCGTTTTAAAAATCCACGTAAAAAGATTTCTCTCATGTAGTATATTATAAAACAAGTGTGGTAAACGAAAAAGTTACAAAACGAGTTGCATACCATACTTACACAATAATCAGTTTTTCGGAACATTTTTTTTTTGTAAAACAATACAACGGCATTTTTGTACTCCAGTCTGTTAAACACCTAATTATACACCGATCTAGCGTGCGGAAAGCGTCACTTTACCATGTGAGTTTCTTGTCCCACGAATCTAAGCTCATTCGGACATTTTCGGGATATTACCACACGGGTTTCGGACCAATCGGATGTTTTCGTAGGTTTTACCGCACGACGGTCAAGTCTGACAGTCATGTCAGTGAATGTATTCGTTTTGTTTTGCAAAAATGTAATCAAAAACTAACGGTCGTAGGTAGAATAGTATGCAACACGTTTGGTGCCAAATAAATTCATGACTCAAATACCGTTTACAGCACTTGTTGCATAATACATTAATGAAATTAAGCACGGAGAACAAAAACAGAAGTCTTTTTACTTGGATTAAAAAAAAAAAAAGATTTTGTTGATAAACTTTTGAACTTCTCAATGCTAATGTCAAATAGATATGTAGCGCTGTACTTGAAAAACATAGAGTTTTTAATGTACGATTTACAACCAAAGTCACGCATTGGTCGTTCAAATGTATTATCCAACGCCTGGAAATTTTTGCTAAACTAAAATTATTTTTTTCGAAGTAAGGGAAATAATAGAGAAAGTTACTCAGAATTTTGCGCAAAAGCAAGAAATATACTAATATACATGGTGTTGCATTTCAATTTACAATGTTGTCATGTCTTTCGAGTTGAATTGGTAACGCTGGTAGTGTGTTAATATTTCAAAAATATAGTGGTGCACTACACAACAAACTTGACAAATGAAGCCTACTTAGGTTCTCCAAAATTTCAATACGGTACTTACCGTGAATCACACTTTATAACAATTTGAAGGACGAATTTCTACAAGTAAGTTAATGAAATTTGTTCTTTATTGTTTTATGACGCTAATTGGAGTTATGTTTAATGGTATATGGCAAAAAATTGGTTATGTTGGTCGATGAAAATAAAACATTATCTTGCTTTTAAGAACTTCCTAAATTTGATGAATATTTGATATTAAAGTGATGCCTTGCACTGATCAAATTTGTTCGTGAATCAACTTCATGAATTAATTACAGAAGAAATTGTCATTGTAAAAATAGTATGACAAAAATAACGATGACGTCATCGGTTCCTGGGCAAAAACATTGTTTAATCCTCTTAGACCTTGTGAATAAGTTGTTCTTTATGTTTTCGCATGCACAAACTCTGCATAATGTTTGCGCGGAGGTCATGACGTCACTGTACGTTTTTACAATAATTATATTCTAGCTTTATCCGTATGCGCAATTTTGTAGATTTTGCAGTTGGATCGTACGAATCCGGACATGTCGTTTTACTACGTTCTCAGCCAGTTGTAGCTATAATAGCTCGCTTAAAAACAACGCAAATTCCTCGACACAGCAAACAGTCATCGTTCCAAGTGTGTTTTTTCTATTCGGATTATAATGAGGAGAAACTAGGTACAAAATATATAGATATGACAATAGATCCTGAGTGAGTTATAAAATGTTCGACACCAGGATTGTGAGTTCTTATTAATTTTTCCGTCACACAAACATCACAACTGACAGGTTCAAAATAGATATTGATTAACAATAATAAAAGTGATTAAAAAATAATCCAGAATGAAAAAAAGTAGTATCCCATTGTAGTGATACTAAATATACTTAAAAAAATCAAGCAAGTGTACCGAGTTCCAACTACATGATGATTTATAAAAATCTTCACCATTTACTCGGTTAAATACTTAGATATCGATTGATTATAGGAAAAAATGGGATTAAAAATTTTATTATTTTTCCACGCTCTACAACATAGTACAAAATATGGTATGCTTTACTTACAACGTTTCGTTTTCGAGAAAGAATCATCAAATTCAGTTTTTACAGTTACCAAAATTAATTTTTTGTCATTTTTGTATTCTTTGGGCATCCTAGTCTTTTGCAAAGCACGGCATGTTTAACTTCTAACCATGCTATTATACCAATATTTATTCAATACTTCCTATATACCTATATACAAATCAGTGATTTGCATTTTCTCTTTTTTTTACTGTTTTATTGTCTCGTCTCTAATTGAACCACATCTGGTTGGTACACAATAAATCGTGATTACTTTATTACATTGTCACTAATAAGTTGCTATTTATTTAATAAGAAACGCCATACTAATAAAAACATTAACAAGCAAATACGATTAAATTTGTTGCCACAAAAATATAATTAATATTTTACCATTAAACTCCGCAGAAATTACAAGAGAAGTGATGCTAGATAAAATGTTAGGAAGAGCGCAAGTATTGGATAAAAAGGAGATATTTAACATAACTATTCTTTATAAAAAGGAAAAATGTGAAACCATCAAGTTTGCTATAAAGGTAAGCATTTAATTCGGTAAAATGTTCTCACATTTCCTGTAAATGAAATAAAAAAACATCCAATTTAGTTTATCAGTTATTCTAATTCAATATAATATATAAATAATAATAAATAATATAAATCAATATAAATTAATTTTAAATTTACCATTAAAATAGAACAAGAAATTATGCCACTGCGATTAACTCCAAGGTTGAAACCAAACAACATACAGTACAGATTTTTACAGCAAACCGCATTTTCTAGAAAAATAGGATAAATTGGAGAGAACCAATAACAATAGCTGTGTCTTATCATCTCGTCGGAGAACTCCAACAGAAGCCTCTAGCTCCAATTTATATCCATCCCGACATTAAAGTAGGAAATGACACGTTCTGTCGCTCTTGTCCGGTTTTAGATGAAAGCCGATCAAGTAAAAGGACAATACTGGGCAACATGCAATGGAGTCAATTTTGTGGAAATGACAACAGAGCATGTAAATCTAAGCTTAGTATATTTGGAAGGTTTTCCAAGTTAGGGTACGTAAAACTTGCTTTTTAATTTTAGATTCTTTGTCAAATCGTTGTGATCTATTTGTCTAAGGTACTTTTATCCCAAAGCTTGTTATTAGCTTTGTCCGCGGTAAGTTTTCCGCACCAATTCGAAATCGGTATTGATCTAATTCAACTCAGAAGCTCCAAAATTTTGGTGACGTACATGTTTTACACATTTGAAAGAAAGTTTGTTAAGGTGGACGGTGTAGATTCTGAAAGATCACCTCTGGAATAAGGATCTCATTACTCTAAATTTGTATCATAAAGTACCTAAGGTGATTAACACTATCTCTGATTTCTAGGTACTACAATCAGACCTAAATAGTTTTAGTGAATACTGGAAAATACGACCAAATAAGTGCTTCAATTAAGCTTTATAGTTTAAATATTGTATTTCTAGAAAAAACGTCCTGTGCCCAGGATATCGAGGTAATGTTAGTTTCCAAGTTATTGTTTGAGAAACATATTGAAACAATAGTTAACAAATCGTATCGAAACTATATAATGCGAGTTTTTATAGATTTTCCCCATAAAAAATTTAGGCAAAGTAGCACTCGTTAGCGGCACTCCTGTACAAAATTTTAAAATTTTGTCATCAGTAACTTTTATGACCCAATCAAAGAAATATGTTGGCCAAATTTTATTTAGGGATCTTAAACCATTTCAGAAATAATTATAGAAAAACGATTATTTCGGGTCTCTTTTTCTAAAGAAAACGTTATGTTTATTAATAAAACTAACGTTATTTTTAGGATTCTATTTACCCTAAAATTTAACGGAGCATTTTTTGATACACATGCTTCAAATTCTACTCTCACAAATTGAGATCTTAGGGTGACTCTAATTGATTATCTCTTTGGTAGCTAGCATAGTAACAAAACCACAACCGAAAATAGTCCTTTTTTATACCGCCTTCTCTAAAATACCTAATTATACACCGATCGAGCATGTGGAAAGTGTTATTTTACATCACTTTCGTTATCTATGACTGCGAGCAACTTCGAATATTTCCGGGATATTAACCAGCGATTTGGGAGCGATCGGATGTTTTCGGAGATATCACCCACGGCTTGAATTTTGACGTTGGGGAATTTTCACGGTCGTGCCACATATCACTCAGTGAATGTATTCGTGTTATTTTGCAAACCTGTACACAAAAACTAATGGTTTGTTTAGTAAAAACTAACCAAAACTAGTGGCTCAAATGCCGTTCACCAAACAACAATATAATATTTAAAGACAATATGTTCTTTATTTGAAGTCAAAAAACCCATTACAATATTTTTTGATGTATTGCCAACATCCCTTGGAACATATGAGTTTCACTACATCACCATCTCGTGTTGATCGGCTTTTGATCCATGTACAAGGTCTGTAGACATCAGTTCATAATTATTCTGGGGAGAGTGGGTTAAAATGAAACTAAAAAACATAAACGATGTTCGTTTGGCAAAAAACGAATTCTTAGGTAGAAGCCATTTTACATTTAAGAATTAGTTTGAAAAATTTTTAATTAGCGGCCCTTGGATGGGAATTTTATTATGCAATATACCACTTGGGGCACGGTTCATAAAATTATTTTTTTATAGGAACAATCATTCATACGTCTTGGGTTCTTCCGACTTTGTTACACTGAACGTCGAAGTTGAAAACGAGGGAGATCCGTTGTATGGAACCTTGTTAGAAATAACACTTCCAGTATCCATGGGGCTCCGACAAAAACCTTCAATTTGTCAAATAGAACTTAACAATAAAGTTGTTTGCGAAATTGGTGACAATGGCGAAGAGTTGTCGAAAATGGTAAATAATTTTTTCCTATTAACAAACAACTTAATGTATGGACACGGTGGAACGCGAGAAATTTGATGTAAATTTTATCACTTTTTTTTGTGTTGTCGATGTATTTGCATCGTAATATAACCGCAATTTTTATTTGGTTAAATGAGATTGTCTGTATGTTGTTCCATTTTCTGCTTTCCTTTCACCTTCTTACCGATTTTGTGAAAATAAGGAAATTAATTAATATCTTTACAACCTGCGGAAATAGACTACTATAACTAGTTTGTAGTCCTTTTTGATATGATTTCATCCATTTTAGAAGGCAACGTGTTTTGAAAACGTTAAATATCAAAATTATATATTATATATTAAGATAACTTCCTAATTTAGGAATTGTTTTAGTTTTCTCATGATTTTGAATTGGATATGAGAACTATAAATGATGGCACTGAACGGAACCAGTTGAACATATCCTTAAAGGCGCACAGTACCTCCGCAAATCAGCCCACGTCAGTCTTAAATATGACGATAACTTTAGTTAGAGAAACAGATTTTATTATTACCGGGTATGAAGAAATTCAATATTTGGATTTGGTTTAATTAAAATCTACGAAACGTTATACAGTGTTTGACGGTGGATGCTACCTTAGATGTTTACGCGAACGGTACATTGGATTGTTCTCAAAATTTAGTTGCGATACTTTATGATCTTAATGCTGCGGCGTTGTCGCTTCTTCGAAAAAGTAACATCAACATTAAAATTTTCAATGGGACACCATCTATATTATAATATTTTCCTTGCCGCTAATACTTTGTAATTGTTTTTAAATAATTCGTTTCTATACCTATTGTTTCTTCAATAATACAAGCGTTTCCTCAATCACTTAATATTTATTGAATTTTTCTTTACTATAAATGGACTGTATCTCACATTGCGGCGACGTCGCGACACATGCCGTGCACGTCTACCCCGTAACGCTACAAAATTGTTACTAGACTAGCAGAAACGTAGACCTTGCCGGTTTGGCGTACAATGCCCTGTTGTCACATTGACTGAAATGTCCGGCATGTTTAAGATACACAAAATTAAAAAGAAATTTACATAATTTTGAACCCAACATACCCCCAGCCTTGAAAGAACCCTCTTTCAAAAAAAAAACAACAAAACAAACTTTCTTGAAAATCAATTTGTCTTAGACAACCTTTGAAACCACTTGAACTGAGTTTTTTTCTCACCCACTTTCGTGAAACAATGGACACAATTTTGCGAATGAACGTTTGATGACACCTTCACTCGTTTTTACATCAGCCAGCCGACTAATGTTGTCCTTTCCTGGGTATAACTGAACAATGCGTCCCATTTTCCAACACAAGGGAGGCACATTTTCTTCTTTCACGATCACCAATGTCCCTTCCTGCAGAGTGTCCCCGCCAGCCTTCCATTTCAGCTATGTATTCCAGTGACCAACGAGACCAAAAACCTTGTTGGTGTTGTTGAATACGTTGATAGCTAGCAAGCCTATTTTCAGGTTGCTCGAGCAATCGTGGGTCCGGTAATGAGGTTGCCATTCTTCCGATCAGGAAATGGGATGGGGTTAAAACGTCCAAGTCAGAAGGATCAGAGGACATTGGAGTGAGAGGACGTGAGTTTAAAATGGCCTCTATTTGACACAACAAAGTAGAAAAATCCTCATAAGTCAAATTTGCCTTGCCCACAGCTCTTTTTAAATGGTATTTTACACTTTTCACCCCTGACTCTCATAAACCCCTGAAATGAGGCGAATATGCCGGAATAAAAGACCAATTAACACCTTCTGTCGCAATCAATGTCCTTAAAATGACATGATTATTACGCAAAAATTTTCCCAACTCTCTCAGTTCTGTCTGAGCACCCACAAAATTTTTACCATTGTCTGAAAACATTTTTTCTGGTTTGCCCCTCCTAGACACGAATCTCCTGAAAGTTGCAACAAATGCTTGCGTAGACAGACTTGTTACAGCCTCTAAATGTATTGCACGTGTGCAAAAACAAATAAATAAACAAACATACCCCTTGTACAAACGCGTGCCCCGTCCCAAAGCTATTTTAAAATTGAACGGCCCTGTATAATCAACCCCTGTGGTATTGAATGGAAATTGTGGGATCACTCGTGACTTAGGTAGGTCTCCCATCTGTATTTCAAAGGACCTAGGTTGAACCTTCGAACACACAACACATTCATGCACCACCTTTCTCACAACATTTCTGCCCTTTAGTGGCCAATAAATTTCCCTTAATGAACTGAGCACTAGTTGAGGGCCTGCATGCAGTAGTCTCAAATGCTCTGCCTTAACAATCAATTTTGTACATGGATGTTTTGGGTCTAACACAATTGGGAATTTTTTGTCATATTTAAATTCTGAAAGCGCTAGTCTTCCGCCTACTCTGATTAATCCGTCGGCGTCTAGAAACGGATTTAAATTTGACAACCAACCCTTTTTTATCTTCTTACCGGTCTCCAAGATTTTCTGCTCAATTTCGAAACATTCATCTTGTGATAACTTTATTAACATATTTTCAGACTCTTGGAGTTCCTTCACTGTCAAATTCTTTGATTCGTGACTATCCAATTTTCTGCAACGTGCCGTAAACCTTAAGCAATATGCAAATACCCGTTCAATTTTGTCCAACTGGAATATCTGGAAAAAATCTCTAGACTATTCTTCTCTGTATTCAAAAAGGCTTTTACTCGCTTCCTCCTTTCTGGAAGTTCCTCTAAAGGTACATTAACACCCTGATTTGGAAAGAAATCTTGTGACAACCATTGTGGACCTTCAAACACAACTTGGAAGGAAAAAGTCCCCGGGATACTAAGTCTGCGGGGTTTTCTTCTGACCGCACATAATGCCAATTGTCTTGATCCGTCATAGACTGAATTTGAGATACTCTATTTGGGACAAAAGCTTGGAATTGATTTGCTGGTGATTTTATCCAACTTAATGTTACTGTAGAATCGCTCCACAAAAACAGTTTCCTGAAATTTAACGTCATGGAAGTTTGTACTTCTTTTATCAACCTTGAAAGTAATAATGCACCCGACAATTCCAATTTCGGTATAGTTAGTGCCTTTATCGGGGCAACTTTACTTTTTGCACACAATAAGCGAACGACTACACTTCCATCCTTCGTGACATTTCTGACATAGACACATGCTCCAAACGCTTCTTGTGCAGCATCACAAAATCCATGAAGTTCGATGTCCTCTGCATTGTTGCTACCTACATGTTTTGGAATATGCAGCATGTTTAATTTCACCATTTCTTGCTTAAATTGTTCCCACTCTTGGGCAATATTGGTCGGTACTTCATCGTCCCAATCCAACTTGAGAATCCACAATCTTTGTCAAATAATTTTGGGAATGACGACATATGGGCTGACTAACCCAAGTGGATCGAACAGCTGGGCAATTTCTGACAGAATCTTCCGTTTTGTGGTACTTGAATTACTTGAAAATTCTCTCGCCCTGTAGGTAAAGATATCTGCCTGACAGTCCCAATACAATCCCAAAGTTTTGTGTTGATGCTCTCCTAGATTAAGAGTTTGTAATTCTGCCTTGGGCCTTATTCCAAATTGTTCCAAGAACTCTTTCTTGTTCGAACTGAACTTTCTGAGCTCAAACCCACCAGATTTTAAAATTTCACAAACACCCTTACATATCTGAATCTTGAATCGACGAGGCCCCTGATATCAAATCATCAACGTAGAAGTCCTTGCCAATTACCTTTGAAATCCTTGCAAACACCTTACCGCTAAAAATGGACTTGAGGTTAATCCAAACGTCACCGTGTTTAAATTGTAGACCTTGACTTCTTCTACTGGATTTTCTCTCCACAGTATCCTTTGTAAATGGCGTTGACCTTCCCTAACCCATACTTGTCGGTACATTTTGGCGATCTCTGCGCAGAATGCTACTTCATGTTGTCTAAACCTCAACAAAATTGAAATGATATCCTCTTGAATTCTTGGCCCCGAAAATTGCAAATCGTTAAGTGACACACCCGAGTCTGATTGTGCAGAGCCGTCATACACAACCCTTAACCTTGCTGTAGAACTTCTTTCATTTTTCGCAGCATGATGTGGTAAGTAATAACACCTTTCATTCGTGATGTCCTCACTTACTTGAGTCATGTGACCTACCTGTTCATACTCTCTCATGTATTCACAATAATCTACATGTAGTTGCTTGTCCCTGGCAAATTTCCTCTCCAAAGAGTAAAATCTCCTCAATGCCATCTCTCGAGAATCTCCCAACTTTTCAATACTCATTTTCAATGGGATTGCAACAACAAATCGACCATCCTGATCACGTCTTGTTGTTGACACAAACAAATTTTCACAATCAACTTCATCCCGTGTCATTCCCTCGATTTGACCTCCACCTGGCTCTTCTAGTTCCCAAAACTTGGCCAGTTGGTCTTGTACCTCTGTACCGATACTTAGGTTGCACACCGTTTTCTTAGGTTTGACTCGAGATCCTTGTCCACTGATGTAGCCCGCTACTACCCATCCTAACCAAGTGTTTTGTAAGACAGGTTTGTTTTCCCCGATTCTTCCTACTCTTATGAGTTTCCAGAACACTTCATCAGGCAAATGAAATTCACTGTTTGGTAGACAAATATTTATTGGAATGTTTATTGGCCCTAACTCAATTTCACACAAAGGAATCTGATCACTAATTTTCGGAATGATTAAACAACTGATAGGAATTTGGAAATCACCTTTCTGAGAACTGATTTCTACTTCACACCGTTTCGAAATCTTTTCAGTGTTTTGACCAATCCCAACCACACACACATTCGCATCTTTTGTTTTTAACTGAAGTCTGTCACACATTTTCTCGAGTGACAAAATTGCTCATTGAAGCTGAACCTAACAAAACCTTGCAATGATGCACATTGCCACTCACATCTTTTATTTTGACAATCGCTGTAGAAAGTAACACCTGACCTTGAGTCCCACAATTTCTAATCGATAGCGCCACAGAGGTTTTACTTCCTTCCTTTGAAGACGCTTCTACAGCCTTTTGCACGTCAACAATTGGGGCACTTTCAACACTGCCATGTTCAGTTTGGCGTTGGTTATAAAAATGTAATAGAACATTATGCCCGAAACCACACTGCGAACATTTTTCCCTTGACAATTAAAACTAAAATGCTTGTTCGAAAAACAACACATGCATAATTTGTTTCGTTTTATTTGCGCAATTCTCTGGCTGGTTGTTAACTCCAAAAATTTCTTACACTCGCTGATGTCATGACCGCTTTTACAAATAACACACTTACTTTTTTCAACCCCAGCAACAAAAACCCTTTGTTTTTGCCCGGTAAAATTTTCCTTCAATTTTGTCCGGGAATTGTTTTCCAAGGTCTCTAACAAGTCTGCACGGCTTTTTAGAAATTGCTTAAAATCTTTTAACTCAGGCATCTCTGTTTTTATTTTAAAAGATTCCCACTCCTTTAATGTTACGCGATCAAGTTTAGTGCCTAAATGATACAAAATTAACGTGTCCCAAAATTTTACAGGTTCTCCCAAATTTTCCAAGATTCGTAAGTTCCTGTCTACGTTATCAATTAAATTTCTCAAACTTGAAGAAGATTCATATTTTATGGGCTGTATATCGTAAATCCCCGTAATATGATTCTGCACCAAAATATGCTTGTTGTCATATCTTTTTCACAAAATGTCCCACGCGATCTCATAATTTGAAGCGCTAAATTCTAATGATTGAATTACCTCCTTTGCTGGAGCCTCAAGTGATGCACGCAAATAGTGAAACTTTTGAATGTCGCCAATCGACTTATTCTTGTGAATTATACTATCAAACGTGTCTCTAAATTCCAGCCACTTTGAGTAGTTTCCAGCAAACGTTGGTACGTTTATTAAAGGTAATCGTACACCCATCGTTTCATTAGAATTTGGCAGTAAATTTTCCTGAAAAATGAGTTGGAATCCGAATGCGTAATATTTTGCAAACACTTATTTTTGTTGTTCGTATCATTAAAATCACCCAAAATATTTTTTGCCTTTGCGACAATATTGTAAAATCCTGTTTGGAAAACTTCCCTTTCATTAAATTGGCTCTCTAAATCTGTTTCCGAACATAATGACTCAATTTCACTTTGATATTGTTCAAAAATATCTAATAACTCGATTATTTTCTCTGTTCTAAATTGCAATTGCATAAACACTTCTTTTTCTGAAGATGCGCTTTCAGTTTGCACATTGAAATTTGTTAAATACCTTTTAAATTGAGATAAGCTCGCTTTTACACTAGCTCGCTTTCTAATTAATTAATTGGTTTAATTGCTCAGCCATTTTGCTGATTTTTGACACACAAAATAGAGACCACAAACTACAAAATCCAACAAAGGTTTGAAAAGGATCGACTTACAGGTTAACGGCGACTTTTTTTCTAAGTCCGGCCCTTACTGTCTCGTCCTCCGTCGCGTCGCAGCAACGCTGCGCGATCGTACGGCCCGCACGTGCAATTTCCAACGCCGCGCCGCGCTCGCCGATAAACTCCCCGGCACCGCAACGACGACCTTCAAACAATGCTTTGTGCACCGCGCCGCTCCGTCTTGTCTCAGCTGCGCTTTTTTGCTTGCCGACGTTTGTTTACGGACACGTAAACGTTTCCCTCACAATTTTCACACAATTTTCTTTGCAAATACAGATCCAACAATCTGTACTTCGCAATTTCCTCGTTTTTCACTTTTGCGGAACACTCAAAATAATTCTCGCAATTGAAAACTCTCCACTCGATGGATCACAATCCCGTTCGATGGACCACTATGTTTCTTCAATAATACAAGTGTTTCCTCAATCACTTAATATTTATTGAATTTTTCCTTTCTATAAATGGATTGTATCTCACATTGCGGCGACGTCGCGACCCATGCCGTGCACGTCTACCCCGTAACGCTACAAAATTGTAAGTAGACTAGCAGAAACGTAGACCTTGCCGGTTTGGCGTACAATGCCCTGTTGTCACATTGACTGAAATGTCCGGCATGTTTAAGATACACAAAATTAAAAAGAAATTTACATAATTTTGAACCCAACACCTATCTTCAGCGGTTTTCGAGAAAATAACTATTTTCTTCATTCATTTCCAACTGAAATAGCTTCAATTAAATTTTTATTACTACGGCACTGGAACCAGTAGAAAGTTAAACTTTTGGACATAGCTTAGAGAGGTATCGAACAGGATTTCTTAATATCGATATTAGTTCCACATTATGCAGGGTGAATAAAAATTAATGATTTGTTTATCAGATACAACAATGATGGAAAGTGCAGTGCTAGATTTCTTTTTAAATGATGTATCATGTCCCTATACCTAACTCGTTTGGTTTCTGGAGTAAAAGCAAGTTTCTAATGTTGTTTTAATGAATTTGTTTATTATTCATGAACAATGCAATTTAATTTAATCAAACGAATCTTGATTTGCAGCACATGAACAAGAGAATATTTGCCACAATTAAGAAAAGCTTTACAAACCATTTTACGAAAAACATTTTTAAAACTATTTACACTAACAAAATATGAGGTATATAAAATAACAATTGCACACAGAAAAATAACTCCAATTTTTAAATTCTTGAAGTGAACTGATGGTAGTAGCCTTCTTTATCTTCGATGGATCTATTTGTTCAAAGCATCGTACAATCCGATGACGTAACTCTTCCTAGCTCTGCACCCGTGTCACGTAGACGCGTGACTTTAACGCACTCCACAGGTAAATATCAAATAGCGTGAGATCGGGCGATCTTGCTGGAAAATCCCACGGTCCCAAACGTCGAAACCAATGGTCATTAAATAATTCGTAAAATTCTACTGACACCTGTTCAGTGTAGTGAGCCGGTGCCGTATCTAGTTAATACCAAAAGGTCCGAAGTTCATTTTCCTCTGTTCTTAATATTTGAGGGTATTTTGCAGCATTCAATGGTTCATCGTAAATTAAAAAACTTACTTTATTGTCTTTTAACTCGCAAACCACATTTAAACTAAATTTCCTTTGAAATCCCATTTCCTTTGTGGTATGAGGTTTATCCTTCGATTGAAAATACCCTCTTCTGAAAGAGGGTCCTCCTGAATGCGAACCAACAATACTTCGCCAAAAGACACTGCCTTGGTAACTTTAAATGATTGTATCTCGTGATCTACCAAAATTGGGTTGCAACGGTTGCAATATCAAACTTATCTGCCGCGC